AGCCCGACGCGGGGCTCGAACCCACGAACCGCGAGATCATGACCTAAGCGAAAGTCGGACGCTTAACCGACTAAGCCACCCAGGCGCCCCGCAGACACCCTCCTTTTAAATATTTATCTTGTGGACAAAATTAACAATCACATTCTTCATGAAGAAAGAGCTGGGATGTAGCCAGAGGCAGGGTGTTGGTCATACCCATGATGCCACTGTTTCAGCAGCAGTGGGCAATATGGAGGTAGAAGTCAGTGACACAGTGGGGAGGCTGTGGCCTGAAAGGGAAGACCGCTCTGCCAGCACTGTGCTGCAAGAGAGGCGTTCTGAACTCACTTCTAGCAGTGACCTTGACTGACAGATTTTCTGCCTCCAAATAACCATCCACTGGACGTGACCAAAACCAGATCAGAAGATTAGAAAGGAGCCACATGGCCTCTGAAACCCCAAAGGCTGGCCCAAACAGCTGATGACTACATCTCAACAGTGGTTTTCAAACCAGCTGTACTTTAACATTGCCTGGGGAGTTTTAAAATCACTGACTCCCAGCCCCCACCTAAGTAAACGAATTAAATTCATAACACTGGAGTTTTCAAAAGCTTTCCCAAGTGATTCTAACATGAATTCAAGGTTGAAAAGTACTGCTTTGAACTTAATCCAACTCTTAGGTACCCATCTCCACCAGGAAATAGACAACCTCTATAAAAGCATTCACCCTAAATGGGGTTCCCAGATAAAACACAAGATCCCCAGTTAAAATTTAATATTAGACACACAATGGATGATTTTTATAAGTATATCCCAAATATTGATTGCATAGGACATACTTACACTAAAAAATTATTCATTCTGTATTTTTATTTATAACTCTGGCCACTGTAGACACCAACCCTCCCCTCAGATATGGCCATGGAAAACATTCTCCCAGAAAGCATAGCATGGAACAACAGAGAAGCTGACCAGGGCTCTCAGCCAGCTGGCAGGTAGGTGGTCTTTGCAGGCAGGTTTGCCAGAGTGTCACTGACATAGGCACCCAAACACCCAGCACTTGCTAAGCCCTCAACAGATGTCAGCCATCATTCTGAAGAAAGCTTATGAAAATGAACTCGTGTACACCAATATGCACTGCAGTATGTGTCATTTTGGTATTCATTTAAGTAGAAAGATTTCCTAGATCACATCAGTTATGATTTGGTGATAAAACAATGAGTCAGTTTCAACTTTCCAGGAAAGTATCTCTAGGAAGTGTCTGGCACCATGGTGCTGGCACTCTGTCCCTTTCATGTGGTTTCTGCCCCTTGTCAGAAGTCTTGACTCTCCCCCTACCTGCAATATTCGTCTCAACCTGTGGCTCTGATTAGTTGGGAAACCACAATCAATGGAGTCATCACAAGGAAAATACTGGTTTACCTTTTATATAAGGACCTTCAATATTTTGAAGTGCCATGCTGGGCAAAACCATTCTGTAAGCATTTGTTGTTTGATATATATAATACAACAGCTACAAGACAGTGCCAATCCCACTGATTGATCCACATATTGAGTGTGAGGAGAATTGAAAAGGGAGGGGCACAAAGAGGTGAGGATGTCGTGAGATGTCAGTGGAAATATTTGTTACATCACACAATCCAACAATGGAAATAAATTACAAAAGTTAAATAAGATATGAAAACTAAAATTAAAGTTAAAAGGGACTGTAGCATGTGACTGGGGGTGGGGTGTGACCTATAGAAGAGGTGTCCTGTAGAGTTCCAAGGTCATTGCCTTGGCTCAGGGTGACTGTCCCCCCCGCCCCCAGTCTGCATATAGATGTAACACCTTCCTTGTAGCTTCTAGGTCACTCAGGCATTCAGCTCCAGGTTGGTGATGTATTCCTGGACCCAGGCCTCCCGGGGGTCAGCACAGATCTCCCGGCCTCTTTTGGTTTGGAAGCTGTGGAGAGCAGTGGAAGGATTACATACTGAGGAATCTAGCAGGGGAATACTGGATCCACTGTGACTCCTCCATCCTCCTCTGCCTCAGTTCTCTCAAGACCTATCCACATGCTCATAAAATGTACCCTCAATCTTGGGGTTCATGACCTTCTCTGGTCTCCAGTGGGGGTCCACTCAGAAAGCCAGCTTCCCACTGTCACCTTGACTCTCTCTTTCCTCTGCCCAGGGACAGGTCCTCCCGGACTCCCTACAGGCACCAGACCAGGTGAGAAAACATGGCAGTAGCCTCCCCTGGCGTACTGTGCTCTGATGGGTCTCAGAAGTCTGAGTCCTCTGAGGGATGCCTCACCCTAGACCTCCCATCTCCTTCCTTAGGGTAAGCAGGAAGATTGGGCCTTACATGACACCGGGCTTGGAGCACTGGCTGCTGGTCTCATAATAGTCGACCACAAATTTGCGAGGAATCTGCCGGGAGATATAGATGAAGCAGCAGGAGGTGGGGGTGTCGGCACCAACTGAGAGAGACAGAACAGAAAGACCCTAAAGTCACTCTTCAGAAGAAAGGACAATCCAGCCACTCCCTGGGAGTCAGGAAGAACTGGAAGAAGACAGTATTGCTGCGGGGTGGCAATGTGGGGACAAGGAGATCCAGAAGGAAGCTGGCATTTCTTCTTTTCCTTGACATTTTTATTTCTGTGTCTCTTTCGGTGTCTGCCTTGGTTTGGGGGCGCTCTCTCTGCAACGAATTGGGTTTTCTGAACAAACTACTCCTTTCCTGCATTTTCCTGGGCATTTGCATCTGGAATTCATGAGGAGAGCCAAGGCCACACCCCTGGGAGCCAGTTGGAACAGATTCTACCTTTTATCTAAATCCCCGTTGGTCGTCCATTTTTCTACCCTTAAAATGGGACTTCCTCCCAATCTTTCCCAGAGCTGGACAACAGAATTGCTAAAACCTCATGGGAAAGAAAATCCTTCTCAGGAAATAGTCTCTGAGGTATCTCTGAAGTTCTCTACTTGGAGGGGCTTGGCCACAAGACATAGGCCTTGTGGTCCAAGCCATGGCCAGAGAGCAGGAGGGCAAGGTAAG